ATTATATATAAAATAAATATACACTTTATAATGAAATAAAGAAGTGTGCAATATGTGCTGAAAGGGAAGATGCCTGACAAGTCTGTAAAAAATTCAGAATAAACAGGAAGAAAACTATCAGTAAAATAAAATAAACTTTCTTTTTTAAAATTTTCTTTTAAGATCATATACTTTAGACAAGGCCATGAAGCTTATGTGCGGGCAGTAAGGAAAGCAAAAATTTACAGTATTAACATGCAAAAACAACCATGGAACAAAATGGAACTCAGGGTAAGTTAAACAAATACTTCAAAGAGCTGAATGTCTCTGTAAGGTTAAATTGACATTAAAAAGCCAGTATGAAAAATATGAAGAAAGCATTACTTTACAATGTTAATGTCAAAATAATTGTAAATCTTAAAATCAGTGTTTTCATTTTTCATCTGGTTGGTTCCTGATAGCAGAAAGCCAGAAGGATATTGAAGAATGTGAAAGTTTACCTAGTGTGGTATTCTTGCCTGATGGATTAAAAATGTATAATATTAAATAAATTTTAAAAAAGGTCAGTGTGAGAGTAGTTAACATTGGAACAGGTTGCCCAGAGAGAGTGTGGAATCTCCATCCTTGATGACTTTTCAAAGCTCAACAGGGAAAGCTCTGAGTGGCTTGATCTAACTTATACGTTAGCCCTGCCATAACTGGGATTTTGGACTTGATGATTCTTAGGGATCACTTTCAACCCAAATTATTTTATGACTCTGGGTTTGTTTATTTTTCTTAACACTAATTCATGCAGAACTCACCACTCAGAAGCTGTTTATAGTTCTAATGACACTCTACAATGACCTGAACATCTAGGTTCTATTTATTGTTTCAGATGCTATGGTGAGAAGTAAGATATATGGTGTAAAGACCTAAGTGTATGCACAAGCTCTGTTAAACAGTGGATCTATCTAAACATATAATTGTGTATGTTCTTAAATTCTTGGCAGAGCAAGACAATATCTTACAACGTATTTTTACGAAATGTAACATGGATTGCTTGGGTAGATACTAGGTTTACACAGTTCGGTGGATTTTTCTTATCCTTTTGCTTTGAACCACTGAGTCCCTTAATACTCAATCCACAGTGTTGCCATATTTTTTTCTGCTTTGCTCAGTTTTCATATTGAGAGAAGAGCATATATATATATATATGCTAATATTCATATATGTGTATGCCAGTGGTTCTATTAATGAAAATAATTGCTTTACCAGGAAAATATCCAGTTACTAGTCCTAGGTATTCAGTGATTCCAGCTGTAATCTTCAAAGGCATCATCGGTTTGTAAGGCAAAGGAAATAGTGTTTCATTTAGGATCGAGATCTTACCACCGGCTGATGTGAACATAAAGGCTATTGTTGAATTTCCGCTTTAAGAGGAAGAGTTTCCTTTTGTTTCCCCTGCATGTTGCTGTGCAAGGGTGAGAGGCCCTGGGTTTAGTCAGGTATAACCTTTGGTGCCGTCAGTGTGGTTAAAACCAGGGTGGTATGTTCCTTAGAATCTTCTTACGAAAGGTAAATAATTTGTGGGTATCCTGTTCACAAATCTACCAAGGGAATGAGCATCTTGCATCTTTTTCGTTTTTAAGGTGACCGTGATTATTTTTAGTATTTGGAAAAGAAAACTTTATGGGTGAAATCACCTGGACTGTGGAGTGGAAACATACATGTTTTTTATTAGTATATTTGGTACTTTAACATGGATGTTTTTGTTGTTAGCAAGTTAAAATAATACTCCTCCGTGCTTATTGATAAATAGGAACAAGAATTTGTGAAGACTGTAGGAATTAAATATGAAGTTGGGCCTCCTACGCTCTGCTGCCTGAAGCTTGCATTCCTAGATCCAATCACAGGCAAAATGACAGGAGAATCATTTTCCATAAAGTAAGTAACTGAAATGCTGGTGGCATTCTTCAGATTTTCTTGCAGTTTAGAAGCTTCCCCTTCCTCCTTTCTTTTTTCTCTTGGTTGTGGCATTAATTCGTTACTACACCAAACTTAAAAATAAAATGCATGAGGTGTTGTGTTTGAAGACTGTCTGTATTGTACATGTGGAACTATGTTTGTGTGTAACAGAAGCATTTTTTTATGTGTGCTTCATGAAGGTACCATGATATGCCAGATGTTATTGACTTCCTTGTGCTGCATCAGTTTTATAATGAAGCCAAAGAAAGGAACTGGCAAATAGGTAACTACTTTTTTTCCCACTTCCATATGTTTTGCAACATTTCTGCAGCTGTTTAATAGGTTACAGTGTCTGTATTACATGATGTAAAGGGCTATAGCAGACATGGTATTATAATGATCATTGGAAACTTTATTTGATGTTTGCTACAATTCCTGTAGCAGGAAAAAAAAAGAGAAATGAGAGAAAGTGTCACAAGGCCTGTGATAGCAGAAGAATCTACTGTTATGTTGTGATTTGAAGCATGGGGGCAGCTGTGACTAATTAACCAGAGCTGTGAAAATTCTTCCTTTAGGGGAAGGGCTTGATTCCTGTAGTGCAAAATGCAAGACCTGAAGTAGCACGTTTACAAAAGATGAAGCTGATTCTCTAAAGAGAAGCATTTAACAGTTATTTATGTTGTTCTTTTGCATCCTCGTAGGGGATAGATTTCGCAGTATAATAGATGATGCTTGGTGGTTTGGAACTGTGGAGAGTCAGCAGCCTTTCCAGGCAGAATATCCCGATAGTTCTTTCCAGTGCTACTGTGTTCAGTAAGTATTTACATAGCTGTAATGTATCACACATGTTTACACGCTCTGGGTATTCTAGATGTTTACATGCAACTTAAATTTAAGTTATTTAATTATGAGCTTACTCATAAAACAATGCTTTTAGTGTAAGCAGCAGTGCAGTGAATATATAGGAGTTATAAGAAAAATAAGGAGCTGGAATGTAGCTAGTGACATGTCTTGATTCTAATAGGCAAGACCTTTTGTTTTAGGTCTGATAGAGAAAAGGTGTATCATATAACTTAAATGTGTACCTCAAGAACTAGGATCCTTTTTCCCATTTAAGCACATGATCAGCCACTTTGTTTTTATTTATTTAATTATGAGCTTACTCATAAAACAATGCTTTTAGTGTAAGCAGCAGTGCAGTGAATATATAGGAGTTATAAGAAAAATAAGGAGCTGAAATGTAGCTAGTGACATGTCTTGATTCTAATAGGCAAGACCTTTTGTTTTAGGTCTGATAGAGAAAAGGTGTATCATATTCAGCTCTAACTTGTGCTTTTGAATGTTGTTTGGTTTTTTTTAATAGCTGGGACAATAATGAAAGAGAGAGGATGAGTCCATGGGACATGGAACCAATTCCAGAAGGAAGTAAGTGTGTGTTGAATTCATGTCCGTGTACAAAGTAAATAGTTTTTTGCCACTGCTAGTACTTACTGTTGTTGAATTCTTCATATTTAGCTGCTTATCCAGAGGAGGTTGGTGCTGGAGTTCCTGTGACTCCAGATGAGCTGACAGCTCTTCTCTACAAACCCCAGGAAGGAGAATGGGGGGCCCATTCCAGAGATGAAGAATGTGAACGAGTAATCCGGGGGATTGAGCAACTTCTTTCCCTTGGTATGTTTGAAGATAAAAGGTGGGAGGATAAGAATATCAATGTGGTGGCACGTGACTGAGGAGTAGATAGGATGGAGTGTTGGGAGTTGGTGTGGAGTATTTGAAATGTGCTCAACTAAATCATTGAAAAGAGCGTTTTAAATTTCATATGGTGTCCTTCTCAGTTTTACTCCCTTTTTTCTGGGGCTTGACCTGCTTCCTGTCAAGTCAATGGGGATTCTCGGTGGGTCATATCTAAATATGAATGAGCAAAACATTGAATTAAACCTGTTGAAAAACAGCCAACAAATCCTCACCAGGCATCCTCACCAAAAAATACCTTGTAACTTGTTTGTAGCCATTTAATAGCACACTGTGATTTAAATTCTATCCTATATTTATACACAGGACATGTCTGTATTGTTAGTTTATGTCGCTTGCTGTAGTATACCTGTTGTAAGTGCATATGCCATGTTGCTTTTCAGCAATACAGTTGGCTGCTGGTATGAAAATCTCAGATGCGATACTTAAACAAAAAATGCTTTTTCAAGAGCAGTTAACAGATGGTACAAGAGGAGGAATCCTACCCTTTGGATAATGACATATCCAGCTGTATAGCTTTTGCTGAATTCTTAGAAAGCAAGCCTATTATAAGGAATCAAGTTATCTTATAACTTTCCTTCTGGTATCTTCTGAGGCATGTAAATTATTTTGATCTTTTGTCTTTCAGACATTTCTAATCCCTTTGCTGTTCCGGTGGACCTTAGTGCCTATCCCATGTATTGCACTGTTGTTGCTTATCCAACTGACCTCACCACAATCAGGAGGAGGCTTGAAAACAGGTTTTATAGGTCAG